GTCACAAAGGGCACAAAAATTAGCCTGGAGGGTGTCCTGCTAGCTAAACTTGGAAACATTTGAGTAAAATAACAACAGTAACGGATTATAACTCACTAAATAAAATAATCCATGAGTTCAAACTGATAAATAAATGGGGAAAACGGGGAGCTCTTGATTTCGGTATAGCCAAAAAAAGTTAGAAAAACCACTGTTTTACATCATACCTTACTCAGGCAAGAATTATCAATGGATGCTAAAACCAGGGGTTCAAGTTTGATGAGGAATAACTTATTTACATAGTCTCCAATATCTTCCCATAAATTACTTATTACCAAAGGGAAAAACAGTAACCTCACAGAGCAGAAACCTGGTTACATCACCTTAACCAAGTATCAAAACTAATGTCAACAGTAATGGGACAACACATCATCACATGCCTCCCAACGTGAAGCTCTGAGGACATACTCTTGCTTACATTGTATTCTTGCCAAAAACGCATAGTGTGAATCTAATCATGAGGAAACAGATAAATCCAAATTGAGGAGGGACCTTCACAAAATGACTGGCCTCTAAACTTCAAAAATGTCAATACCATGAAAGACAAAGAAAAGATGAGGAACTGTTCCAGATCAAAGGAGACAGACATAAAAGCTAAATGCAATGGACTGGCTTCTGAACTAAAAAAAAGAAAGCTGCTATAAAAGGAAAAGAAAGCTGCTATAAAAGGACATTATTGGGGCCAGCCCCGTGGCTTAGCGGTTAAGTGCGCACGCTCCGCTGCTGGTGGCCCGGGTTCGGATCCTGGGCGCGCACGAACACACCACGTCTCCAGCCATGCTGAGGCCGCATCCCACATACAGCAACTAGAAGGATGTGCAGCTATGACATACAACTACCTACTGGGGTTTTGGGGGAAAAAAATAAAATTTAAAAAAAAGGACATTATTGGAATGGCAACATTTGAATAAAAAGGTTAGATTAAAATATTGTATCACTGTTACTTTCCAGATTTTGATAATTATAGTGTGAGTATATGAGTGATTGTCCTTGTCTTAGGAAATAAACCCCTAAGTGCTTAGGGGGAAGGGAATGATGTCTGCAACTTACGCTCGAGTGGTTCAGAAAAGCGTGTATGATGAGAGAGAATGACAACACAAATGTGGCAAAATGTTAACTACTGGTGAATTTGGATGAAGATGATTCCTGGGTTCTTCATATTGTTCTTACAACTCTCCTGTAATTTGAAATTATTTCAAATTAGAAGTGAAAAAACTAAGAATATTTTGATTTACTCAATGACTGACTTACATATAACTCAACTCTCAGTCAACACCTTACTAAGGTAAAGAACAGCAGTAACTGACAGGGGGACTCGGGATCCACTCAGGAGCCAAGAGGAAAGAAACTGAGGCATAACCTCTTCAACTCTGAGACAGAGATCACTGTACATTTTTGAGGAGAGACGTGTTCATACTGAAAATACTCAGTCGCAGAAATGTAAATTTTTCATTTTATTCAAAGTTGGTACAGAAGTGCTAACATTTCCATAAAATAATTACTATACTTCAGTTACAGGACAAAATACCACAGAAAAGAATATACTTTGCAAGAAATGTAGTTCATCTTAAGTTTCCAAATACTTTTGAAGGCTAATGCAGCAGCTGGCAAAATAACACACAGTACACAAAGAACAGTGTATTTTACAAGTCAGTAATGAAAACTGACAGCTCTTTAGCAGATTTGCTTCATTTTTTTAAACAATAACACTTTTAAAAACACATTAAACCAAGATCATACATGTCTATAATTTTAAAAATCAGATTGTATATCGTAGGTTAGAATAGTCAAGTTAGAATTGTCATGTATGGTTAACAATCCTAAATCTACAATTTCAATTATACTCCTCTCAATATGAAAGTAACTTGGTTTATACCAAATTCTACTTTCTGCTTGCAACTAAAACATTGTACAATGAGACAGACCCAATTAGTCAAACTTTAAAAAAAAAAAAAAAAAGCTATGGACAATGAAGGGTACACTGTAAATCAGTTTACAATTCAAAAAAGTCACCAATAATAACTCAACAACTTCATTTATAATCACATTTGGTCTACAATGCATAACTGACGAAATGATACATGTACACAATATACACCCCCAGTGCACAGACTGGTCTCTTACAGAGAATCTGAACAAAGCATAAAAGGCAGGATACTGGTGACAACATTTTTCAATGTAGACATCTTTTAAAAATGCATTAATACTTACATATCAAAATTACTAGATAAAAGCAGCAGTACTCTGCTGACATTTGGCTTAAAAATAAAGAAATGAATGAAGCAATTTCACAGGATATTAGAAAAGGAATTGGTTTTCTTCTTGAAGAAGACTACTAACTTTTGCACAGCAACTATTTTTGATATCCACCTTATCAAAAAAAAAGAAAAAGCACTGAGAAGCGTAATATAGTTCATAGGCGATTGCCAACATAGGTCTGGGCAACAGAAAACAGATGTCCAAGCAAAGAATGGGTAAATCCCTGCTCTATTTCTGAACTCGGTTGGCAATCTATAAACTGAAGCAACATTGGTGGGAGAAAGCGGGGGAACAGATTCCATACCATCGTCTGACACTAATGTAATATGCCATTATTAAAAAAAATAAAGCTTTTGCATTTTAACCACCCCACAGAAAAGTCCATGAGCAAGACTTGATCTGTTTGCCACTCAAAAGTTAGAGATCTCACAGTGAAATTAGAAAATTCTAATTATACATTTACACCGCTAGAACTTTCACCTAGACTAATTAAAGCAATTTTCCATGGAATTATAAATGAAAGATATTCTGCCAAAGGAATCTTCAAAAGAATTCTTTAAGTTCTTACAAACTATTTTAAATTTAAAAACAACACTTAAAAGTACAGAACACATACTACATTCATGCACCGCATAACGACATTTCGGTCAACAACAGACCACATACACAATGGTGGTCCCATAAGCTTAGTACCATACAGCCTAGGCGTGTAGTAGACTATCCCATCTAGGTTTGTGCAAGCATACTCTACGATGTTTGCACAATGACGCATTTTTCAGAACGTATCCCTGTCGTTAAGCGACGCATGACTGTATACAGGTCTAACAGGTTATAAGTGCTTTGTCTTATCACATACTGCTAAGCCAGAGATGTTCCTCAAATCTCTCCTTTTTCCTACATTTCTGGCACTCCTCTCCCCTCATCCCCCAAAAGCTCGTGGTTTTACAAAATAATGCTGTAGGTACACACCCAGTTACTTTTTGCTAGAGGGGGAAATCCCTCCCTCAAAGTGTTCAGGTTAACTCTCCTAAAACATGTCACATTAGTCTACACCAGCTTTACTCTTCCTTCCATGTACAAGAGTTGACCAAGTCTTTCCCTAAGAAGATAAATATACAAAACAGAGGCGAGTGGAAACAAAGGTAGTCACTTCTCTCCCATTCTGAGAGCTGTATCCTTTGACATATGGGCAAAATCGAAGCCAAAGATGTTATTTATTCATTCTTGATAAACAGGGACTATTCCGGTGAAGAAAGTGACGGGTAAGATAACGGCAATGCCAAGTGGAAGAAAACACATGATTTTCCTCTTTTACACACACATTCACAGATTTCATCTCATCTAGTCTCGAAGTGGGTAATGGGACAAGCAGAAGAATCCTTTAGACTCGTACAACCACTGTGAAAGCAAAGTAGTTCATTTGGCAGATTTGTCTCAGAATTAGTTAGATGCCCAGAACACTTGGATCAAATTCTGCTCTATTAAAATGAAGTGCAGTCAAGCATATGAAAAAATAAAGATAACTTCATCTCTTATATACAAACTTACACAAAGATTAAAGACAAGTAGTATTTGCCCTGCTAAAATGTGAAATTTCTCCATGTTTTTAGAGTACTATCGATGGGAAGTAAAATTTCCTAAAGATTTAAGATTAAAAAAAAACTAACTCCAACTGCTCTACAGCTTAAACCAGAAGTTTGTCAAGCTGTTCCACCCACCAAACACGTAGAACTCTGTCCCTGTCTCTTTAGCTCCAAATTGTAGGAAACAGCCCACAGACCCCATTTTAGCTAGTAACCCCCAAATATAATTGCAGCATTCTTGACATTTGTATTCTCTCCCTCTGCCAAAGTAGCACAAACTTATTCAGATTATTACATTGAATCGCTTATCACTTAGGATTCATAACTTAGATACCTCATCGTCTAGGGCTTTTATGGTCCTCATCCCAACAACTCCCGAGAGAAACACCTGGTGGGCTTTATGACTGGCAGTTGTGGGCTACTGAGAATACTGTCAGTCTTGTGCTTTCTACATGTGGAGATAACACACACGTATGAACATGATTTTGTGCTTTCTATGGACCTTTACTTTAAGCTTTTTCCCTATCATGGAATGTGAACTGTTGTCACATATATGTTCTCAGATATGCCTACCAAACCTACACTGGAAAAACAATAAAGTTAAAATATACTCAGAATTAATAAGTAACCTTATATTTTTAATTAAGGATATAAAAGAAACAAATACAGATGAATAAATAACATTTAAGCTGCAACATGAATTAGAGCTACCTGTTTTCCTGGAACCTAAATAAAGGTTGCATACAAAGTATGTAAATATAAATGTTTTCTTTGTATTTCCTTTGCTAGTTATAACAAAATTTAAAAAGACGAATTGTAACAAATAAGAATTTTCAATCAAGAAAGGGAAGGGTGTAAACTAGCAGAGTCAATATTGGCAACCAGAAGGCACTAATCAAAACACACAAACTTCAGGAGCTGATTATATATTATGGAATACCCTATATATTGGCCTTTGCCAATTTGGGATTTCAATAACAGCAATAGCTTAATTTCAGTTTCCAACTATTATAACAAAAAAGTGAGTGAGTTACTAAGGAACATTCCACTTACGGATATACTAAAAAATTATCCAGACCGGTTTGTCCAGAGGCAATAAAAAAAAAAGTAAACACTCCTTTATCCAGCAACACTAGGGTACAAGGTGAATTTACCAAGATAAATATAAGTCTCCAATAAGGTTGTGGTTATCTACTGTCAACTTGTGCTTCCCTTACTGATAGACTTCTCTGCAGTTTACAGTCTTGACCTGGGGATGGGGGGGGCTTCATTATCATAGACAACAATTACCATATAGTGCTTTTCTGAGCTGAGGAGAACAAAGCCATTGCTCCTCACTGAGAAGAATCTGAGACCACTGTGCTCTGTCTTGACTTGCTCTTCAGTTGCTTACTTATTCTAGCATCCCTCTCGTCAAACATGCTATGGATCCAGGTAACCAAATCAAACTTAAAAGCTGTTACATAAAGTAAAGTTACTGGTGTTAAGTCAACAGCCTCATATTATGGTCCTCTCCTAAAAACTAAAGTATATGAAATTATTAACGATACAGAAACATCAAACTTTTTGTTTATTTCTGAGTAGAAGAATATATGCCAATGGTTAAGGCTGTTACCAGATAAACTGGGTGCTTAACTAAAACTAAATCCTATCTGTTATAAAGGATTTGAGATGGAAACAGAAACATAAATTCCATCAATTCTCACAACATTCCTTTAAAGGTGAATCAGTAGTTTAAAGCCTTATTCTCAGCACTGGAGAGAGAAGTTAAAAAAAAAAAAAAATTATATGACTATGTGAATAATGGTGTGGGACTCAGTGCTGACAAAGCCTATTAATTATTTTGAACCTTAGCTAAATTCTGTCCTAGGAGTCACAGCAGCTGAATACCTAGTCTTTCAACAGACAGGAGAGTTTGACAAAGAGCACACCAAATTAAGAGCAGTGACCTTAATGGAGAAAAGAGGGTTTGCAGCCCTGAGTTAAGTCAACCAAGTCTAACCAAGTGTAGTAATCAAAAGATTACTTCTTACGTAACCCAGCTTCACACCTAACTAATACAAAAGGGTTTCTCTATATGCCAACTGATTAGTTCCAACTTTTTACCTTTAACTACTACAAGAACAGGGCTTTCTGGCATCAAAACAAAATTCCATTCCTCTCTATATTGTGATATCATCATTTCAAAGGGGCTTGTATGAATTTTAATTATTGCTGCCTCCCTACTTTTTGAAAAAGAAATTTTGAGAAAATACTGATTATTAGTGAACACAAAGTCTGAGAAAATTATTCTTGAGAATTAATAGTTTAAGCTAATAGACTTATGCTACAGACAACTACATTTAATTGTGTGGATCCAAGTCTTCAAAGGTGGAGCAAAGCAGCACTTTTGCCACTGTGGCAATAAGCCTGAAAGTGAATTAAGCTGACAGAAGATCAAAATAGGAATTTGATAAGTAATGAAAGAAAGAACTGGTGAAGAATTAAAGCAACGAGAGGAAAGATAAAGGGAGAGACCAGTCTCTCTGAATGGTAAGTGGGTATACACACAAATAGGAATATAGCCCATTTGTGAAGTCTGCTCAGGCTAATGTCAACATTGAAATGACTTAAGCAATTTAACACCTGGCTAATGAGAAATCTTATGAATACTGAAACCTGAAAGCATTTTTTTCTACTAAAGTATCACTATCAAATATCAGTCATTTTAACTTCAAATATGTTAATAAACTCATATTTTATAATAATTAACATCAAACCAGGGTTTAACAGGCTGGATCTTATTCACTGGTACCCTAATCTATATGGGGAGGGACTTAAAAACTAGCTGACAGCCAAGATGCTTCAAGTCCTAGAATTCAATGACTATGACTCTGTGTCTGCACATCTTAAGCTAATGTTTGTCCTTTACCAACTTGTTAAGTCTGTATCACCCAGGTACTCCTCAGCATTTCACTTAATAGTTTTTCTAACTTCTTAGGAAAATTTTGTCCTGGCAAGTCTCTGCAGTCACATAATTTAATAAGAATGGTCTTTATACATCTCTCAACTCAAACCTGGAGAATAGTGAGGTGTCACTACGAGATATCCATGTGGTCCTTTCCAGCCATCATACATCAGACAAAAATGACACAGAGAAGTAAAGTATAAGGAGAGCAAGTAAGCCAAATACTGCTCAGTGGGAACACTGATGGGTCTAACCTTTTAACAGCTAATATGGCCAGTCTATACAGGACAGTAAAGAATGAGAATAACCCATAGGCTACATTAAATGATATTCAAAGAAAGGGGAAGATCCACGCACCCAGTATAGGAAAGAAAGCAATGGATTGAGAAATGTAGACAGTTAAAAGACTTTAATCACCCTGACAAGATTTTTCAGCACCCCCCACTGGCGCTTAGCCTCAGGTTAGAGAACTGAGTAACAACCTTCCACTGAATTCTTAAAATGTGAAGTTTCACAGAGCAATGGGTCCCTGCTAACTACTCGAGGTGCCATCCCTAAAAGCTATGGCTATGTGACCCTGGCCAGCCTCTTTGTGCAAAAAGACAATGGATCCTTTGAGCCAAGTGAAAAGGAAGCCTTGAGAGATCAGATCTGCTGAATTGAGGCCAAAGGACACAGCACCATGCTACTGCTTGATGCTTCTCTAACCTAAAGATAAGAGTGATAACCTCACCAGGAAAGAATGGCTGGGGAAAAAGACTGGCTTAGCTGTTTCAAAAGCCGCTTACTATCTTGGGGTGGAAGAACAAATTAGGGTCCCACAAAGGAGCCAATAATCATTCTGCATATCACAGTAATAAGCTCTTCTCATCAGATCTTGAGACTAAGATTGTCCAAGAAGACAAAAATTTAAGAACTGGGGATACCATTAACAGCAGATAAGACAGTATTTTTCTCCACCTTTGAAGACTCGTATCCTCACTTCATTCTGACTCTTAGCTAACTATTTTAGTCAATATCACTCAGTCAATTCTGAACCTTAGCCTGACGCAATATAAAAATATATACATGTTAATGTCTAGAGATCAGTGTCATCATTTAGGACCCATTTAGTTAGTGTAAAGTACGAACAGTTTGCTAGCTTAAGACAGACCATGTATCATTCCATGAATAGTCATTTTAATGAAATATAGACTGAAGAATGGTCCGCTGAAATGAAGCTGCAATCAGCAACTCACACACTTATTCAAGCACATTATCTATTACTGGGAAGCAATAAGAAGGGCAAGCTTCAGGGACTTCAGTCTAAATAAAGTGATGTTTATACTGGCAAGAATAAACAATCCTAATGGATATGCTAAAGTCATTCCTTATTTACAGACACTAGTACTCTAAACTTGACCTACTGCTATGTACACACAAACAGACACAAGATGATGTATTTTATGTACTGTACTAAGACAACAGCAGAGAGAAGGTAGGGGGACCCTAATACTCCTAAACTGTTAGGACTCAACATTAAATAAAGAGGGAAAAAAATCCACATAAACACCACCTATTCATTGATGCTGTAAATACAGGGATTAAGAAGGCTGCCCAGCCAATATGTCAATCCTCACTGCTGAGTTACACAGCAATGTGTTCAGAATCAAAGAAAATTTTAATTCATCCAACTTAATGCCAATTTGAAAAATCTGAGATCCTATTATTTCCCCAAATTCCAAATGGTTGTCTCAAAGAACAACAGTTCCTTTGAAAAAAAATGACGACAAACCATGAGTCCAGATTTAGACACCCAGTTTTCTGTTCTTCCCAACAGACTGTAACCTTGGACATGTCACAGTCTCAGCCTCCATATAAGAAAAGGATGGTCCCTACTTATTTGGCCCCTGCTTATAAACCTTAAGAATGAAATTGAGAAAAAAATTCTACAAGGCACTCTAAGCTCTCAGAAATCATGCTATTCATACATGAATTATTTTTTGATCTATAGACTCAGTCAGTCAGAAAGCCCCCTGGAGACGGGAAGACATTATGCTACCTGATAATTTCTAAAATCAACTTTGGACTAATCAAGTCCATCATAATGAAACTAGTTTATAGAATACAAAAAATTTAAAGTCATTAGGACTGAGTTTTTATTCAAAATCTATAAAAGTATCTAAAAAAGTAATAATTTTCCCTAAAGAATACAAGCTTAATAAAATCATGCAATTTAAAAAGTATCAGAGATTACAGAAAAGTCAAAGAAAGTAGATACACAATTAGTTTCCTTCATCTGTCATGGAGGAAAAAGGACAGTGCTGAGCACACACAGACACAGAACTACATAATCTGTAAGAGCTTTTCTCTACCATCTTTTGTACCATGTCCTCACAGATGGGAATCACAGCCTGTGAAAAATGATTCCCATCCATAAAGGTTGCAACTGGGTACCAAGCCATGTCAAAACAGAAGAAGGTCCTACAATTACACAAGTCCTGTAATATCCTCCACAAGACACACTACTAAACCCAGAAGCTCTTATTCATGGCACCTCTTGAACATGCTATCAATTCTACAGACAGACTATACTGACAATCTACCAATGGCAAAGCATGCACTCTTCAGTTTTCTGCTACTGATGGCCAGTTTACATTGAAACATCCTCATGCTCTAAATCACTGTAACTTTTTAAACAAAAATGTAGGGGCCATGTACAGATGGCAAGTCTTTTGAAAAAAAGTAAATCAGGAAAAAAAACTTATCAAGGATACAATATCATTTCAGAATTAAATTTTCCGTTTAAAAACTCAACCTCAAAATATCACGATCTAATCAAGGAGGGCAACCCAACACAAAGGCAGTGTCAATTTTTCTTCAAATTTCTGGACATATCATCCGGCTAATAAAGAATGTTACCAAATGACAAGAACAAAGCTAGAGAATTAGTGGAATATGAGTAATCACCTGTTTAGCTTAAGTTGACTGAACACTGCCTGGGGGCTGCTAATTCCCAAACTATATAAACAAGCTTAATTTGGTCAATAAATTCGGGGATCTTCAGCAATGTTTACTTCACTTTCTCCCCCATAATCAATTTAACAATACAATCATGACATATAAGTTTATAAAGACAGACTTGGTGGTCATTTGAGTATGGTTCACTTAAACTTCAGTCAAAGTAGGAAAAAAGAAAAGAAAAAGAATTGGAACAAACTTTTTCTCAACATTCCATATATTGGTGGTTCAAGAACAGCTACAGGAAAACATTCTTCTTCCTTTCTTTTGGTAATCAGAATCCAAAGGCTCATGCTAATGAAACTAACCTGGTAAACTAACTAACTTGTCCTGAAACAAGTACCCCACAAGCACATTAGTTCAATTTTCAGTACATAACTAATTACACAATGTGCACAAATTCATTTTTTAATGGTAGTAGGGATTACAGAGACAGAGAGAAAACTTTAAAATGAGCAAGTCTTCTACTTCAGGTTAAGGTCTACCAAGATTTGGCAGTGCAGACAGTATACCTTATTTGTAGTATCTTAGCATATATTCTGCTCTAAGTGTTCTATGAGAATAATTGGTCTCTCCTTACTTTGGTATGGAAAATTTTAAACCACATTTGCACAATTCAGTCTGTTAAACAAGTTTTACTGCATTTAGGTTGAAAATTTACTTTCATCCATCTCTGGGAAAATAAAGTCTTTCAAATAGATGATTTTCTGCTAAGTAAAATTTGGCTAAAACCTACAGCGTAAACAATGCCTGAGAGATGCAAGTTACATAAGTTTTTTTTCCAAAGACCAGTATTTTCTTAAGTTAACGTCTCATCATATCCTTTAAAGTTCATAAGGAGAAATAAACAAACATGAAAATTCCAAGTGAACACACAGCAAAAAGTCCAATATTTAGTATTAGTTTAACTTGTGGAGGCTCTTCCAACATTTGTAAACAAACAGCCTCCTCCTCCATCAGGTCTCTGAGACTCCTCTTGCTGAGGCTCTTACTTTTAAAGCCACAGAACCAATCTATGAACTTCCAGTACCGGCTTCCATCCTCTGTTTCTTTCTTTCTCTCTTTCTCACCCATGAGAGCTGCTTGCCCATTGGAATAAGCATCTACTGGTGTTTCTGCCTCTGAATGACCTAAGGAAGCCACTGGGTTGCCCTCCTCTCTGCAGGTCACCAACAGATTAACATCTTCCGGCTGAAGACCCTTAATGCTATCTTCAGATTTCCCATTGGGAATGATGCGGTTGATGGACTCACTATTCTCATTGCATCTCAGAATGCTCTTTTCTTGCATCTTGTACGGTTCGTCTTTTGGGGAGCAGCTCTCCTTCACTACCAGGCTCTTCTTAGACCAAAAGGTGGTGGTACGAATCTGTTCCTTCGTGGGAGGTGGTGTGAGAAGGCTAACAATGACAGTAATGAGTCCTGTGACCCAAAACAATGCTGTGGCCACATACATGTAATGGATGTCTTTGATGAAGCCTGGCCTGTTATCAGGTTGGTCACATTCTGGGGCACGGTAGGCAAAGGCCAGTATCAAACGGACTGCTCCAAGAACAAAGCCAGCCATTCCACCATAGAAAGCCCCTTGTTCATTGCAGCGCTTCCAGAAAATTGACAGGAGGAACAGAGCTGCAACTGGGGGTGTCAGGTAATCTGCTACCTCCTGAATGTAAAGGTACATCTGGCCTCCTTGCATCTCCACGATGATTGGCACCCACGCAATGCTGATCACCACCATAAAAGCCACAAATATCCTCCCCACGATCATGAGTTCCCGGGAGCTTGCACTCTTGCGGATGAGTTTGTATACATCAAGGGTGAATATGGTACTGGCACTGTTAAAGATAGAGTCCAAGTCACTCATCAGAGCTGCAATCATCACTGCCATCATTAAGCCCCGGAGGCCCACGGGAACCAGCTTCATCACCAGGCGTGGGTAAGCAATATTAGAGCACCCAGCTCTGCTTCCACACACTTGCATGCAGTGCTCTGGGTTGATGCAAGCTATATCATCAGCAAACAGTATCCTGGAAATCATTCCTGGGACAACTATAATAAACATTGGCAGAAGCTTTAGGAAGCCAGCCATAAGAGTAGAGCCTTTGGCATGAGCAATGTTTTTAGCCGCTAGGACCCTCTGCACGATGACTTGGTCAGCACACCAGTACCATACTGAAGCTGGGGTCTGCCCAAGAACAAATCCAGGCCACGGAACATCTTCATCTGTTGGATTCCGCAACATTTTCAGTGCATCTTTCTTAGGGTGGACATTACATGAATTTGTGTTGGAAAGGTTGTATGTCAACAAGATGGAAGTGACATTGGGTGAGGCCAACATGTACCTTCTCTTAACTTCCTCAAACCCGCCAATCTCCATCATGCTAATAATCATAAGCGTGAGTGCCCCAACGATCATGAGCAGAGCCTGTAGAGTGTCTGTGTAGATCACTGCAACAAGGCCTCCGGTGACAGTCAGTAAAGCAGTCATGCCAATGAGCAGGATAACAGACACATAAAGGTTCCAACCCAAAGACTCCTGGATAAAGAGGGCACCCGAATACAGATCCACTGAGAGCTTGGTGAAGATATAGAGAATCAGAGACAAGGCTGCGAAATAGACCTGAATCCTATGGCCACCAAATCGCTTGGACAAGTATTCAGGCATGGTGTATACCCCTGACCGGATGTAAATCGGGATGAAAACCCATCCCAGAAGTTGCAAAAGCAGTAAGGCATTGAATTCCCACGCGCCCACTGCAAATCCACTTGCAGCTCCAGATCCTGCCAGCCCAATGAAGTGCTCACTCCCAATATTGCTCACAAACAGAGAGGCACCAATCGCTACCCAGGTCATAGAGCGCCCCGCCAGGAAGTATCCACTCACGGTGCTTCTGTTAGATTTCCACATGGCAAAAAAACCAATGCACATGACCAGGATAAAATACAGGGCCACTATGGCAATGTCTGCTGTCTCCAGTACAGCCCTCATTTTGGTAACTTTGTGAATAAAAGTGTCCAATGACAGAAGTGTCCGATTTTTTATTTACTCATTAGTAACCCCAGCCAAGTCTGTAAACCATACGTGCACTGGACTACACAGAGCAACAAAGCAGGTCAAAGTCTTTGTCCTTTGGTTTGCTGTCTTGATGGTGGTGGTTGTGATAAACTTTGAAGGAGACAGTTTAAATTTTCCTCCGCTTCTTAATTGGGATTGAGAACTTAGCTCGTACTCTTAATCCACTCTCCACAAGACCATCAGCATTTACTCAGGTGCTGGAGGAGAAATTCTGAGTTGCAGCTAAGTCTAGTGAAGCCTACTGTACCAACCCTGCAAGGCAGCAAAGACAAAAGACAAAGATTGAATTAGAGGAGGGTCTCACCAGGTGATGAGGAAACTTTCAGTCTAGCAAAACGGCGCAACAAGACATTCTTTATAAAAAGAAAAAAAACTTTTAAAATATATTTTGGTTCCACAGGAAAGAGCAACCTATACTATCACATCTGATAATTAAAGTCAGTGAGAATATTTTTCATTTTGAACTGAGAACAAAAATTCATCAACCTCATAACTAAGTGGCCTAACTTCTCTAGCAACTACAAACTGCCTACCATGACATTGCCCTTTCTTGTCTTACTGTGGTAGTCTCAGACTGGAACAGGTACCAAGATCTTAAAGCACCTTAAAGGGGCAGGGGGGGGACACTAATTATTCACAATAAGGGCACCAAAATGAATCTTCAACTACTACGAAGCCTAAGAGTAATGCACTTTATAGCCAGTTAGGGGCCTGGATGGAACATGCAAGTGGTGTTTACCGGGTGTTACCATCTACCCCCAAACACAAAACCAAATATCGCTTAGTCTGTGCAAATCCATTGTTTTAAAGTTCTCCTAAATTCCTACTACAAATGTACATCTGTGCTAGTTATCATATAGTAACCTAGAAACTGTGAGATGACTCCTGCCCTAAAGGGAAATAAGACATCCCACACAAAAAATCTAGGAACATATAACTTATGAAACAACCTAAAATTTTATTCTTTCCATTCACTAGAAGGAAGACATCGGAAGAATTAAAAAAAGGTTCACAAAGGTAATTTCCGTCCCTTCCTTTTCATCAGGCAATATTTCCAAGAGAATCTGAGAGGATAAAGGCACTGACTCAGGGTTTGATTTTGTTGAATTTTTTTTCCTTTTAATGCTTTCTTGTTGAAGGGTATAGAAAGCAAGGAGAGGAGGGAAAAGGAGAAAAATTTCCTGAAAGACTGAAAAATAATTTGATTATTCTATCTTGCAAACCTCAACAAAACAGACATTTGACAACCGTTAGATAATAAATTATCTTCAATAAGTCAATCAGATATTTTTCAGTCCTAGATTAAGAAAATCACTCTGCAAAACAGACATTTAAATTTACCTAAAATCGAGTTTATGAATTTGATGGTTTTTCTCCTGGAAAAGAGACAAATTCTGAATCTTCGAAGTTAATTATAATTGTAGCTGGAAGATCAATATGAAAAACATTTTGTTATTCAACCTGATGCCTTCCACACGTTAACTTCTAGAGTGATTTCTCCTTTTGTGATAAGGCAACCTCAGAGTGAAGTCTATGCTATGCTTGAGAAAGCAGATACTTTTTGATGAATCTAGGCATTTTCCTTTAAAATTTAGTAGCAAACTTAAGTCCTACAAATGATACTAAAGCCACCTCTTTTCAAAACTGTTTGAAATAGACCATAGTACTAAAAACTAAAAAACACAACTCTCACTGGCAAAGAAAGGAGCTGGAAAACTGTCTACAGACAAATGCCCTACCGAATTAGGTTATTAGGTCTAATTCACAAAGCTGCCTAGGCCTAGACAGAAACATCTTAATCCCACCACTACGCCTTTTTAAAGTATAAAACACTACAATAATTATACTAAGAAAACTGATTAAAATCCTTCCTTCTAAAAGCCAGTGGCATAAATAAAACTGCCAGACAAAAGCACAAAATACACTAAAAGCTGGGATTTGTATCACTTCACACCTGCCAAACCCTGAAGCCGGTCATATTTCTATGACCACTTCCCCATGCCAAAAACTTTCCAGTTTTTAAAGAAATACTTGGACATTATTTAGGAAAAATCATCTAAATTTTAATAAAATCTAATCAGATGACTAATAAACATTAATTATTTAAAAGGGTACCTTTAACATTTCAGTATAAGGGTCAGGTCCTTCATTACAATGAAAACTGTCGTTGGCAGTTATGAAATCCTGCCTTCAACAGAGCTCTCCCTGCCATCCAACATCCCAGCCATACCCTCGCCACTTCTTTCAACTCACACAGATAACTAGCTCACTGTCAGAAGGGCCCTTTCAGGTGTCACTCTTCTCAATGGCAGTAGTTGACCATGTGTTTCCCCAAGAAGGGACAAACACCCAGACTGCTTCTGATTTTGTTTGGAGGGGAGGTGGGGTAGGGTGTGTGCTATAGTAGCCACTGCAGAAACTTATTTGTGGAGAGAACGAAGTGCTCAGAAACAAAACAAGCACTTCCTTCCTCCATCACTAGGAAGCACTGCTAGTATCACTAACAGTGTTTTCCACTGTCAAATATGACTTATGCAAGTTAGATATCTACGCCATATTCTGCTCCCTGATGAATGCTCAGATGGGCTGAAATTCTTATGCTAGGTCTAACCTCTCAATCTCTAGAATAGCAGGTAAGCTAGAGAGAAAAGACGTTCTGCCTATGGGAGAGGAAGCAGGGAGCGGACAAACTCGAGCTCAAGGCTGAGTTCTCAACTCTTTCCGCCTATGCCTCCTCAGACGCTTCAAAAGCCATGGCCGACAGTCCCCATCTCACTGGATACCATACCAGTCTGTGGGCAGGTTTAAGATTTTTCCAATTTAAACAAAAAACATCCAGAGACCAGCACCTGGCAAAGACTGAAAAAGGAAAAACAAAACAAAACCAAAAATAGGTCAATTTAGTTTGTAGAAAAATATAAAATACTATAATACAATGCAGCTAAATTTCACATTCTAGTCATGATACTCACAGCCTTGAATGTCAAGTCTTTTAGGAGATAAATTGTGCAGTCCTTAAAAATGATTCCAAATAAAATATACAATATAAGTTTTACATATTTCTCTTTCTTTTAAAGAAGTAAACATTTCTACAACAAAAATACAATGAACACTATCCAGAGTTCCTTTATTTTTAGAAAGAATATACATGGAAAAATTTTTTCTTCAGCTAAAATAAAGCTTTTTAATTTGTCTTTTTGTATTTCTAGGACTAAGTTGGTTCACAATTCAAGGAAATCTCTTAAGTGAGAAACGTGGGACAAGTAATAAAGTAGATATAATAAATATGGGAGTTGGTTCCTTAGTAGTACAGTTTTAAGAAAACAATTACTTCTATAATGAGAGTAATATTTGTAGAATGTACAAAGAAATGGTCCCCTAGTGGCAATAGGCAAAATAGATTTCACCGAATGTCAAACAACAAGGATTTTCTGAAACAGAGCAGTCCCCCCAAAAAAGGGGGCTTTCTTCTCAGAAAGTAATGTTTTCTACAGTTTTCCACAAAATTAGAATACAATTTTGGTACTGTTTCACGTACTTGGATGAATTAAATTACAACTGAAGAATTAATCCAAATAGAGAAGTACACATAAATATTTGCTGCATTTGAACTAGTAAAGACCAAATTTAAATCAGCTATTAAACTCCTTCAGGTAATATAACCAAAATATAATTAGTTATAGTGACCAAATCCAACATCTTTCTTCTAATATCTAAGATGACCATACAATTTATCTTTCAAACTAGGAAATTACTCTGGGACAATCTGTAAAACCCAGGACATATGGTCACTTTATCTAAAAAGAAAGTTACCTGTCACAAAAACCAAACAGAGAACAAGAAAAACAATCCCTAAAGCCATCAGGGCTCCAAATCATAATAAATTCAATGAGGCACGCGGGCTAAACAAAGGGTAGAAGACAGTGGCCTTAAAAGTGACCTAACAACAATATTTTAGCTTTGGAGTCATTTAAAAACCACACACTCAAAGGACAATCTGAACAGGCCCAGCCTAGCACTGTCAACAGTAGGCCTGCCAAGTATTGCTCATATTCTAATCCAATGAAAAATATTCACTTTACCAGTATTTTAAGGGATACAGAACACACAGACACCTGTGGAAACTTACATGAGTAGGTGGCGTGGTCATGAAAGTAGACAAGCTTTGAAGGGCTGGGGCCCACGCTCTGTCCCTCCTAACTGCAGGATTTCAGGCAAATAATCTCTACGAGCCTCAACTGTCTCATTTGTAAAATGAAACCACCACCTAAATCCTAACGATTTAAGAAGGAATAAGTAACATACAGAAAGCACGTAATATTGCCCAGGGCAACAGGCAGGTGCTCAAGAAATGTCCCTTCACCTTCTACAACTCATCTAGACTGGGAGTGATGACATCGGCTCCTTTCAAACTAAACTGTCTATATGCCAGGGATATTAGGATCCTCATTACAGATAAAACAATGCATTAAACATGCAGTTCTCTCACAAATATTTTAGAGAGGCTCCCAATGACCTCATCAACTATTAGCTCCTATTTATATCACTTCATTCAAATACAAAAAAATAACTAAATTTATATAAAATTCTACTTACAGACTTTTCACAGATGTTTTCACTTCTGTCATCTTGATTCAAGGTCCAGTAAAGCAAATTCCACTAGTGGAATAGATTAATAATGACTGGTACAGAGGACATACGTACTCCTACATGACCTTCCTCAACCCTCCCTTACTTTAAAATTGTAGAGCATGGATACGGCAGTGGTTTATTAGTGACACTTCAAAGCAAAACATGTTCCTAACAACTGATATGAATTCCAGCCAATTTTAAATTATAAGTGGAGCTGAAGACAACACTACACGTAATTGTATGATGTAACAGTCCCTAAAACATTCAAGGAGTTTACCTTTATATCTGACAAAACAATTCTATTATATCTACAACCTCGGCTATTCAAAAACCTAAGAAATGTATGAAACTGACTGAACTCAAATGACATTCAAACTGTACTCTGAGGATTTCTAGTCCCTTTGTACCACTGGCGGTGGGGGGAGGGACTTAAGCCCCCTCCAGCAACCCTCCGCCAAACAAAACAGCTCTTTTAGCAACCTCACATATTGTGGGAGGGAGGGTTAGGAGGGATGGATTCCCCTGTAAATAAACCACTTCTTGAAACAAAACCTTCTTCACCTAGAAAAGTTCATAAACCACCAGATTTATCATTTCATGCACATATACACATCCCCCAAGATATACTCATTTTTAAGTTGCTTCTATCAATATAGAAGTTTGGCTCACGATGTTTTTTCTTTAAAAAAAAAGAAAAAAAGTCGTCTCAGAATGAAGACCTTTCTGGTATGGGGCCAACTTTGAAACTACCACTGGTTTCAACTTTTACGTGGATGACACTAGATCATGTATATGGAGCAAACTCCAATAATCTATTATCGTTAGAGAAATGAAAATATGACATAACAGTGCAGCAGTGCCTATGATACCATATCGTGTAAGCCCAATATGACTAAACTTTTGTGTTAACTTTTTTTTTTCATAATTTTATTTATTTATTTTTCCCCCAAAGCCCCAGTAGATAGTTGTATGTCACAGTTGCACATCCTTCTAGTTGCTGTATGTGGGACACGGCCTCAGCACAGTCAGAGAAGCGGTGCGTTGGTGCGCTGGGCCGCCAGCAGCGGAGTGTGCGCACTTAACCGCTAAGCCACGGGGCCAGCCCTGTGTTAACTCTTAATGGGAAGAATTCAAGAGACTCAGCACTACTCACTTGCAAAAAACTGGTTATCAAAGATAAGTGAGTTATAAATAATGGAGAGAAAAAATTAAAACCTGACACTTACTGACCTAAGTCCTAACACCTTGTGCCTAGAGTGTTGGGTGCATTACTTTAATCCTCATAACTATCATAAGAGCAATTATTATAATCATTTTGCACATGAGAAAACTGAGACCAAGGAGGTAGTACAACCTGCCCCAGGAAGCAGTTATTTGTGTTTACGTCAGGATTTGCACTCGCATCTGTCTATCTAAATAGCTTCTGCCCTTAATCACTAGGCAATACCACCTTCAATGAAAAGGACATTTCTTTATTGATAGAAACATGAACAATATTAACTAATAAGAGATCATTCAACATCATGTTTAAAAATCTCCGCTTGCAGAGAAAATACTTGAGATGTATATACAACAAATGTTAACAAAAGACTACAAACAGCACATAAGATAAAATTCAACGGAAGTATTTATGTATGATCATACGCGAATGGATATATGTATGGAGAAAATGAAGAGATTCAAAACAGAAAGAAGTCCCAGGCATAGGCTTCTTAGGTAAGTGTAAACACAAAGAGCAGAAAAAACATGACAAGTGTCAGCTACAAGACCAGGGCTCACCCAGGTTCTCAGCATCCAAGTCCAACGCTTTTGCCTTCATTCCCTTTCTCAGTGTTAACTAGCCCTTCCACCAGAGAATAAAAAACTAAGTCTCCAAGTCTCTTCTACACCTGACTTTGTTACCATGGGCTATATGAATCTATCCAAGCCAATCTTCCTTCTCCTGCTAACTTGCACATCTTTAAGACATTAGGTTAAAAGAACTGGCTATATATGATCTATAGATCTAAGCGTTCCCATAGTAAAATCTATGGATGACTGTTCTTATTGAATGAAGTGTTTGTGACCACCTATCCCTTTGTCTGGGAGTACGAATCATTTGGCTCATACCCTTAAACCTGTACTACTCTCAGTCTTCCTCATCTCAGAGAATGGCAACTCCATGCTCACTATTGCTCAAGCCTCAAAATATCAGTCATCCTTGACTGCTTGCTCACTTTCTCTCTCAACCCACACAAAATCAATCCATTAGCCTGTTGGCTCTACGTTGAAAATATATCCAGAATCAGACCACTTATCATCTCAACTGCTAGCACCTTGGTCCAAATCACCATCCCATCTCATCCAGTTAACTAACTGCCCTAAGCATCTTAACCTGTCTCCAAGCTTTGGCCCTTGGCCCACTAAAGGGTATTAATAAACGCAGCAGTCATCCCTTTACTCACAATGTACCAAACACACCTCTGGGCCTTGACCTGGCTGTTCCCTGTGCAGGGTACACTCTGCACTTTCACATTTTCACAAGACTTGCTCTCCTCTCATTTACATCTTCGCTCAAAAGTAATTTCCCTAACCATCTCAGTCCCTCCTTATTCCTGCTTTATTCTTTTTCCATAGCACTCAACACCTTCTAATATTCTGTAACACTCACTTATGTTTATTGTCTCCTCACCACCAGAATGTCAACTCCACGAGGGCAGAGATTTTTGTCTGTGTTGTCACTGATGTGGTCTGTGTCTAGAACAGACTTGCACACTGCAGGTGCTCAAATGTTTGTTAAATAAATGAATCAAATATTAATGACTAAGTACCTGAACAACAGTGTTAAATTTCCAATATCCCACACAATCATCAATAGCGGTTTTAAGCAATAAGAGATGGCAGATTATGGGCCAGCCTGGTGGCGTAGAGGTTAAGTTCGCACACTCCGCTTCAGCAGCCCAGGGTTTGCGGGTTCGGATCCTGGGTGCAGATCTACACACTGCTCACCAAGCCATGCTGTGGTGGTGACCCACATACAAAATAGAGGAAGATGGGCACAGAAGTTAGCTCAGCAACAATCTTCCTCAAGCAAAAAGAAGAGGATTGGCAACAGACGTTAGCTCAGGGCCAATTTGCCTCAAAAAAAACAAAAAAGAAAGAGAGAGATGGCAGATTAAAAGGCCAAGGAAGAGAGCATTTCCTCCCCACCAAACTGATCAGCAATCTCAAACAGCTCTGAGGGTGTATGGAATGACAACAAGGCAAATCAAACTAGGCAAGAATGCCCTTTGTTCAGATAAAAATCTCAATGGGCTATGACGTAGTAAAAATCTGTATCTGGAGTTACCATCTCATCCTACCTACTCACTGCATAGGGGCCCACTTCCCTTCATTGTACTAACCCCATTTCAGAACGGGCTCCAGCTTTTACTCCTGCAACTGTAAACATCCACTTCACAGTGTGCAGTGGTATGTGCAGACCTCCCTTATGCAAGTGCTTCTTGTATGACAGGCTTTTCCACATCAAAAAGACAGGTCGGTGTAGTCAAGCAGCACTTCCCTTCAGCTCACCAAGTCCAGGCTCCTGCTGACGTCAACTCAGGAAGAACCTCTCCCTTCTCCACCTCTCCATTACAGTTGAAGAGTTAAATGTTCCCACAAAACCCAAAAAGTTACGTTAATAACTACCATTTACCAACACTAGTTAGTGCTAGGCACCATTTTTACACTACATGTAGCAGCTCATCTAGTCCTCACAAAAGCCCCAAGAGGTAAGCATGATAATTATCCCCAGTTTACAGATGAGAAAACTGAGGACCTATCAGAGGATCATTAAGAGAGTCCAGAAACATCCGCTGTGAAGTAAAGATGAAGAATGTATCCTTTCACAACACTCCCCAGGAAGATACACATAAAAAAGTAGAAATAAACATAAGTCAGAAAAAATCTAGCTAATTCTTACAGAAGGAATGATGCAATTAGAAACTCACCCTTCACAATCTCTAATGAAATGATGGACCTAGGCAATGATTACAAGGGATGCTAGAACCCTTACATGAATGGCTGATGGGGGACTTTAGAACGGGTGGATGAAGCTGACAATATCTGCACCCACAGGGGCTGGCCCGGTGGCACATAACGGTTAAGCGCAAACGGTTATGCGCGCACGCTCCACTGCGGAGGCCCGGGGTTCGCCGGTTCAGATCCCAGGCGCGCACTGATGCACCGCTTGTCAAGCCATGCTGTGGCGGTGTCCTATATAAAGTGGAGGAAGATGGGCATGGATGTTAGCCCAGGGCCAGTCTTCCTCAGCAAAAAGGAGGAAGATTGGCAGATGTTAGCTCAGGGCCGATCTTCCTCACAAAAAAAAAAAATATATATATATATATATCTGCACCCACAGAATTAATCTTATCAATAATGGAAGACATATGTGCTTCCTGATGTGATGCTACACCCAGTACCACTTATGTACTCTTGCAAAACCAAACAACCTGAACCTAATCAAATTTCTCACTACAAGTTTACAGAAAATACTTGGAATAGAAGAACACAAAAAACACCAGGAAATGATCAACCTAACTCAGAAAGGGAGGAAGGGTGGGGAAGCTATTACAGAATAAAAAACTTAAAGAGGCCATCAAGCAACTGTAACCTGTGGACTTTGTTTAGATTCAAGCAAACCAACTGCAGAGAAACATTTGAGACAATTCAGGAAATGTGACCATGGATATCAGACGTTAAGGAACTGTAGTTCAGTGTCATAAAGGCACTGTGGTTTTTTTTTTTTTTTTTAAAAGCCCTTATCTTTTACATACATACTAAATATTTACAGGTGAAATTTTATATCTGCATTTGCTTTAAAGTACTCCAGCAATAACTGATTCAGAATCCTCAAGAGATGCTAAGACCAGTGGAAGACTTGGAGAAAAGACTATTCAGTCTCAAGTTTGTCACTCCATAAATCACTAATTACAAAAGGAAAAAATGTACATTTACCATGGAGCAATCTTGTGGATATCATCTAAACCCAATGACTGCTTAACAACAGTGGGACAAAGTGACACGCCTCCTGATATGATACACTGACATCCCTACGTAACATTCCTGCCAGCAATGTGTAACCTATCTCTAATCATGAGAAAGTAACTAGACAAATCCAAATTGAGGGATTCTGCAGACCAGCAGGCCCAGACTCTGTTCAAAGTACCATTATCATTCATGACAAAGGCTTGAGAACTCTTCTAGATCAAGGAATCTAAGCAACAACTAAATGCATGATCCTTGACTGAATACTAGATTAAAAAACTAAAGGATATTACTGGAATAACAGGGTAAATTTGAACATTTTTTAATAGTACTGTATCAATGTCAAATTTGAGTGTTATGGTTATGTCATGGTTAGGACAAAGGCTCTTATTCCTAAAAAAGGCATGTCAAGATGCCTGCAACTCTTAAATGGCGCAAATAGAAAAAGAGTAAATGTGGTCAATTCTAACAATTGGTGATCTAGGCAAGAAGCATATAGGTGTTAATTGAACTGTTCTTATAACTCTTTTAAAGGCTTGCAATTTTAAAATAAAATTAAGAAAATATAAAATACTCCAGTAAAAGAAAAGGAGGTGGGGGTTGGGAATGGAGATGAAGCAAGATTGGTAAATGCTGACTAACTGTTGAAACTGCATGAGGGGTACAATATGGAATTTCATTAAACTATTTAACTTTTACGTATGCCTGAGTCTGTCTTAATTCTCACTTCCATAAAATGAGAAAAACGTGATTCAAGGCAACATCACCAAGATAGATTACTAGATTAAAAAGTCCTATGGAAAAAAATTGAGGATTAAACAACTCATATGCACTGTCAATTCTTCCAGTAGAGGCTTGAACACGACCTAAAACAAAAGCCTGCTGAGGTGAATGGAAGGGAAGATAACTACTCCAAGCCCTCTGCACGTGTTCCTGCTCTTCTGCCCCCAGTTAATGGCCATGGCTCGCTCCCTCACTTCACGTAAGGCTCTGCCTTGCCTGAGCAAGCTAACAAAAATGGAATTTGCGTACTTTGTCCCCCTATCCTGCTTCGTTTTTCCTCATAGCATTTGCTAGTTTGTCTCCCTTCCTAGAATATAAGCTCCATGAAGGCTGGGACTTGTCTTAGTTTACCACTATATTCCCCAAACACATGGTGGTGCTGGCACCCAGCAGGCACTCAAGATAGAAGTGAGATATTCCCTTCATTCTTGAACAGTACTACCACTATGACGCACACTCTTTTATACAGATGCGGCACTCACAAGTATAACTCCTAGTTTGAGACTGCCTTCAGAATCCTGGCTCTGCCACTTCCTGAGCTCTGCGAGCCTGGGCACCTTTCTGCTTCAGCTTTTACATTTGTGAATGGAGATCACACTACCTAACCCTTAAGATGGCTGGGGGGAAAAATTTATATATATATAAAAAACCACACACACACACACACACACACACACACCTGCTTAACCAGCCACTACAGATTAGGTATTTAAACCATAAGGTTTACAGAGGGAGAACATCCAAACAGGTCAACTCGGTGGTTCCCTTTCATGCTTTCTGTTATCCTACTTGGTTCCAATTTCACGTTCCTAGAAAAACCATTCCTGGAACAGATGCCAAAAAGTTTCTCATTTTTCCATGTGAATGAGGCCAGAAAACGTGAACACAAGTCTTCCTGGTAGACCAGATCCTAATTCTCCCAGGAGGCCAAGTCACAAATAGAAGATCCTGAAATTGGGATGATTTCTCAGGCAGATACTTTTGTTTGGAAAACTTACAAACTTTCTAATTTTTCCCAAGGTTTGGAGAATACTGTAAGATTTTCAACAAGCAAAAAAACAAGACCACAAACAGGCTAACTCTAACTGGAAAGTTATTGGAAGTATTTGGGAAAGACTGGTCGAAATTGTGGCCTGAATGGAAGCTAAGTGAACGTGAAACTGAGGCAGGGTGCTGTAGACAGGAATGCAGCTCGCTTCTTCTCTTGTATTTCCAAGATAGGACACGCAGACTGGTATAAAAATCCAGAGAAATCAGATCAGAGGTGCTTTCCTTGGACGCCAGAAGGTAGGAGATCTTGAAATTATAGATTCCAATTATTTCATCCTAATCAGATAAAATATTAATAAAGAAAATGATATTCAGAAGAATTTCTTTTCTTCCCTTTAATATGCTTATACTGAATTTGCAAAAAAACCCCTGGCCCTCAATCCACACGTGAGAATTGCATTCCTGAGACCAACAGTGCCACCAGAGTCTGCTGGACTTAAGATCATCCCTGATGGAAACTTGGTGTCGAAGGTTTTCAAGACAGTATACTTCACACAATGGCTTTCTCATATAACTGCTAACAAAACAGAAGTAGTATACCAACAAGAGAATGGCAATCAAAACAACCTACTATTGGGTCACATAATTACTTAACAGGTTTGAGTAATTTTTAACAGGACACTTAAGTACAACTTTCCTGAAACATACACCTGGCAAAGATCCTACCCCAAATTTAGCTTTTCATTCAGCAACAGAAACTCATCGGAAATCTGAATCAAAGCCAGTATTGAACAATGTTTTATATTCATAATTTGCACATAGGACATATGAACACAAACTGAAAACTGGGCAGATATCTGGGATTTTAACTGGTTCTCCACCCTCCTAAAACAAGCAAAGACTGCGCAAGGGTTCCCACACAAGGATCTTCCCAGCACCTGAAATTCAAGCGCAGCTAAGCTCTGATCACCACAGTGAGTATTTTCTCATTCTGGACTACAACTACAACAATCTGGCTGTTAGAGCTGCACTTGGGTTTCTTCACGTGACAAAATTAAAGCATTTTAACAGCCAGGGTAGGTGTCAAAGAGAATGTTAGTCTAAACAAAGAGTAACCAGGAATTCTTGATTCTGGGGCAGAAGCAGGCCAGTGCCAGTTTATTAGCATTGAGGGCTCCAGGCTGATGTTAAGTCCATGCTTTCACCTGCAATTCCATTTTTAAGCTGTTATCCACACCAACCTCTAGTGAAGTATTCCCAAGTGGGTAGGGATTCCCTTAACTAGGGCACTGTAATCATAGCAAAAATGATAGGGGGGCCAATGGACACAACAAATCAATTGTATCCTGGACTTGAAAGGTAGGGAGGAACAAACTGGATGTGAGTTTTTTTCAGTTGCGATTAGCTGTTATGTATCTGGAGCGAGAGGGGGGGAGTGAAAAACACAAAGTCAGTCAAGGTAATAACTTGGCTTCCATTCTGTGGAAACATGAAGCCTGATAAAAAATAAAAATATTACATCATCCCCTTGTTCTATACTCTGACTAGAAGAGCACCTAAATTTTTTTCATGTTAATGCTACATTCCAAGGGTCATATAAGCTAATGTGAATTTCCTAGATACACCCTGAGCAAAAAATGTCATTTTCTAGACAAAGCAGTCTTTGCCCAGAAGCAGTATTTCAAACCCCTAAGAGGTTAGTACAACGCACATAAACCAAATTGTCTTCATGCACGCTTAAAATAAGCAATCACCCATACATCCAAAGAAAAAGTGGACTGAGTACCAACTTCTGACAGTTTACTTTAAGTCATACTTCAGTCCTGGTGCAACTCTGTGAAGTCTGTATGTATACTTCAGCCTAAACAGGCATATATAATCCATAGTCCAGAACCAGAAACTGACACTACTTTTAAGAACTAACACGTTTGCCATTTACTGCATAACTATTAGTCCTATTGTACACCAATGACCAATAAACAAAGTGAGTTTTGTCAATGTGTGAGCAGCAATTCTGAAACCTAATACTGAAAGAGGTCTAAAGGCAATTAAGGATGTCTTTAAAGAACACCTAAAGCCAATTATCTAAATTAGAAATTACAAGATGGTAGCTGTACTTGACCAACAGATACATTTCATTTGGTCTACGGTGCTTAAATATTTTTGAGTCAGTTGCCAACATCTTTAAAAAAATCAGATTTCCTGTAAAATCTGGATTTCTGGCTAGGAATAGGATGGAAAAGGGCAAGCTGGCCAAACCAGGCCCACACTGCCCATGGCCATAACAGACTGGAGCGTACGCACCAGCACCACCAGCCCACACTCCCCTCCTCCAGCAGCTCTGCCATTCTGCCACAGGCCCACCCAACTCCTTTCAGTCTTGAATGAAAACACTCCAAATTATGACACAGTAATCTAAGGCTGAGGATAACCATTCATACTTACCAAGTTTTAAAACACAACAGTTAAAAAAGAATTCAACAAACAACCTGTCTATTCCTTAAGCAACTTTGTTAAACAGCTTTTATTAACTCATGAATACATTTACACTTCACATCGCCATCTCCCAAAAAGAATGAAAATGATTGAAAAGTTACCAGCATTACTATTCTTCTTGGTCACATTCTGGTTTCTTCAACTGTTATACACTAACACACACATTTCTCAAGTCTGCTTCATACAGTGCCCAATACCCTATACCATCCAATATCCCAATATGCAGCTTCAGACTAAAATAAAATAATCAGGTACAAAAAAAAGTCACAAATTAAGTCTGAAATAAAGTTGGATTTAAAAAACTTGACAGTTAATTACACATCAAAAAAATGTATATTCTCTTGTAAAAGGTCTTACTTAGGACTTGGTGGATTGCAGGTACTCCTGGCTTACAAGACAATTACTAAAAAATCAATCAAGGGCCGGCCCCGTGGCTTAGCAGTTAAGTGCGTGCGCTCCGATGCAGGCGGCCCAGGTTCGGATCCCGGGCGCACACAGACGCACTGCTTCTCCGGCCATGCTGAGGCCGTGTCCCACATACAGCAACTAGAAGAATGTGCAACTATGACATACAACTATCTACTGGGGCTTTGGGGGAAAAATAAATAAATAAATAAAATTTAAAAAAAAAATTTTTAAAAATCAATTAAGTGTGTTAATTCAACATATACATTCCAGCAACATATGCTATAATGTAAAATAACACTTTTATTTTAATTCCTTTATAAAAATAAAATCGGTACCAATAGGAATGGAACAAATTAATTAAAATCATCAATTAAAAGGAAAAATGAGGAGCACCTTTCTATTTACTAGACGGGATGCTGCCTGATTCATGAATCTTTGAATAAAGCCCACTAGATCTTTAAATTTACTTGGTTGAATTTCTGTGCTCATTAACAGTAGTAAATTTATATATAATGAAATGGACCATATATTTTATACCATTATACAATAAAAATATATATAAAACCAATCCCCCCCCCCAGAAAAAAGGAAAAATGTAATTTTATAATACATTGCTGCATCAAAAAGGAAAAGCAAAATACTAGCTGAAAATACCATATAGCACGAGAAATCAACTGGGCTATCTATCATCTGCTCCATTTATTGACTCTACTGAAAAGGGGGTCATCTTTATACCTTCAGCACTTCGGCAATCAAATATTTACTAAATAAATTAAAATACTGTTTTCCCCCACACCTGCCTCAAATCACCTTAACACTTAACAGTCTATCTAAAGTTATTCTTTAGATTTTCCCTATTCACTTTTCCCAACCTTCTCACCTAAAAAACACGTTAAGTCTTACTAAGTACTAGTTATATAAGGTCCGATGGGAGAGAGGCACACAAAGCCCAGATGCATATATTTTAGATCTTGATGAGAAGTCCCAGTGCACAAAGTGCCTGGCAAGGGCCAGAAGCTGTTGAATAAATGATATACATCTATCTGACAAAGAGGTTGTTCAGAGCTGGTAGAGTTCACAGGATCCCTCAAACACACACTCTACATCTCACAGCTGCAAAAGCTTGCCCCTGCTTAGTTAGCCTGCAAGCTATTATATAGCATGGTTCATGTTCACTAATTCAAATATTTATCGAACATGTACTATATTCCAGGTCTGATTCAGATTCTGATAAAATAATACATATAAGAAATTTATCTTTTGGAGTCTCTTCATCAATAAAGTGGGAATAATGGAAAACTAGGCAATGAAGTTCGATAACTCGCCTGAGATCACAAAGCTATTTTAATGACATACTCAACAGCTACCAACTCCAAAGTTATGTTACCACTTTATCTTCAAAGACTCTCCAACTTAGGGATCACTCCCACGTTACAGATGAGGATCCAAAAAGGTTAACATCCCTAGGAGGTAGGTACCAGGAACCAAAACCAGGTCACTCCATCTCTAAAGCTCTTTCTAGCAGTGCCAGTTCTTTGTTTATTCCGAGGTAACACAACTAGTGTCTTCATTTGGGATCTTATGGCGTTCTATTCATTTAGAAAACAAAAATCAGAGCACTTACTGAAGCAGAAGCCTTCATATCCAAAACAATCATACCCAAAAGTAATAGGTAAAAAAGGGGATTAAGGCTAAAGTAGGAAATCAAAAAATCATACATACGTACCTTAAACATTTTATTTAACACATAAATGTAAATTCATTTGCCAATCTTAATATGGGGTCAAAGCACTTGGAGAATGAGATCGATGATGAGGAGTTCCTTGCTGACTGAAGTTCCTTCTGCTTGATCTAAACCACATCTATAAATGCATCATCTACAATTTCCATTTTCCGTTTCATTAAAGTGGAAAGCTTTAAGAAATCCTTGTAAAGCGGTCTACATGCAGAATCCTCCTGGACTGTTGTCACTTTTCCTCTCAAACTTTGTTACTACAGCCATATCTAATTCTACAGCCATTATTTTAGTGACTCACCTTTATTAAGTCTTTCCAGAGAATCCAACTTGGTTTTCAGGGGGAAAAAAAAAAGTTTGCACTCATTTCATCAGTTTACACAATATTTAAATTATTATTATGAAAACAAGATTACCTGCCATGAAATAGTCTTGGAAACCAACACAACTTCTGGTGAGCATACAACTCACCGAGTACAAGCAAAGGGCACTGACTTGAAAGCAACTTACTAGCACAAGAGGTCAGCATGCTATCTCATATTCAAGAACTGTTTTAGAGAGATGAGTAGTAATCCCCGGAAAGCAGCTAAGTGAGCATCAACCTCATGTGCAAAGCAGAGCAGAGGACAGAAATTAAACAGACGACCCTCAAGAATCTGTAATCTAGCAAAGGCAATAAGAAACATTCACCAATTAACTATAATACAAAGTAGAAAGTGATCCATGTGGTAAAGACACAGAAAAACACCATGCAAGTCCAAAGGAAAGATTATACTAGTCTGTACCTCATAAGAGTGCAGATCCTGAGTATTTAATGTAGTGAATGAGTTAAAATGAACTTGAGGCAGGTTTTCATGGAGATGATGGGGTAACGTGGAAAGAGAGGGCATTCCAAGAAAAGCAGTGTGACATAGGCACCAAAGAAAATGGAATAGTATTTATGGGGATCTGCAGCAGCCCTGTTTACTTGGTATACAGAATGAAGAATGAAATAGAGAGATGAAGTTAAAAAAAAAGGTTGGGGCCGGCCCCGTGGCTTAGCGGTTAAGTGCGCGCGCTCCGCTGCTGGCGGCCCGGGTTCAGATCCCGGGCGCGCACCGACGCACCGCTTCTCCGGGCATGCTGAGGCCGTGTCCCACATACAGCAACTAGAAGGATGTGCAGCTATGACATACAACTATCTACTGGGGCTTTGGGGGGGGGGGGGGAAAAAGAGTTATCTGTCAGCTGTCCATCATTACAAATAAAATCAACAGTTATCCACTTAAAAAAAAAAAAAAAAAAAGGTTGGAGAACTATCAGAGGCAGCCTTGGATGCCAGACTTCATTCTGAATGTCTTGAGAGAGAGAGGTGTGCTGTACTTTGGCAAAGCTGACACAATCAACTAATAAGGGAAAGCAATGAAGTAATCAGAAAGCATCACTATACAATGCTTTGTATTATTTCCTTGTTAAAAATACATCTCAATTTAATTCTTTTCGAGTATCTCAACAACATATATTTTTGCACTCCAAGAAGCATATTTACAGGCATTAACTATCCTCCCCTCAGAAGTATGTTAGAGAGATCAGCTAAGAAACTGCAAGAATCAAGCAAGAAATATAAGTGGTTCAACCAGGGCAGAGAAGAGAAGAGAAGAGACCACATGTGATTGAGATTGCAGGGATACAAAGAGCTGAATTTGTTCAGCTCCAGGTGACAGAAGACAGAGAAGCCAAAAACAGAAATAAGTTAGACAAGTTTTAGGGTAGGCAACTCAAGTTTGAACCACACTGAGTTTGCAGGGCCAAGGGGGCATCCAGGAGGCTACAACCAGCACAGAGGAGAGTACGAAATGCCAGAGTTCTTAGCTTGTCACCAGAAAAAGAAAAATCACCTATAAAAGGTCAAAGGTGTAGCATATAAAGAGGGAAAGGAAGGAATCAAAGCAGAAATGTCAGAAAACACCATAAGCAGCTGAGAGAAATGTTGAACCTAGGAAATTATGAGTCTGTATACTCTAAGTCAGGGTCAGCAAATTTCTTCTGTAAAGGAGCAGATTGCAAACATAAACAAATCAACAGGTTATGTTCCAATACATCGTTTTCATGAACTCTGAGATTTGAATTTCATATAATTTTCACATCAGAGAATATTATTCTTCTTTTGATTTGTTTCCCAACTATTTAAACATGTAAAATCCTTCCTTAGCTCACAGGCCATACAATTACACAGGCAGGCTGGATTTGGTCTGTGAGCCAGAGTCTGCCAACTCCTGCTCTAAGTTAGAGCAACAGGATAAGAGACATGGATTAACTGCCCCTCTCCTAACTTCTGAGGGTAATTTTTCCTTCAGATAAATTGATAACTTACCAGATATTCACTAAATTTGAATGATTTCCTTAAATTTGACTAATTCCTTAAATTTGATTCCCCTAAGAGATACCTACACATGTTGATAATAATCCCTGCTGGGTAAGAATACTGCCTTCCACTAAAAAGAGGTACTCCTTATCTTGAACAGAAAAAGTGTACCTGTACTCCAAATACAGCAAGGGCCCAAGATGGGATGTATTACTTTAGAACTCGTCTCTCATTATTTTCAAACTCTTAGTTTTCTTTCAAGTGATTTTATAATCTAAAGGTGAGAAAATTCAATAGCAGTCTGTATATAAATACCCAGATTTTAAAAACCTATTAAACATTAGTATTGAATGTGTGAGTCATGAATAACAATTAAGAAAAGAATTCAGAATGTCGACTTCTGACAGTCTTCGTAAATACAAACCATGAGGTCTGGTGAGGAAGGACTCCTGACCCCCAAGAGACTCCTTGCACCTTAGCTGTAGCTCAGGGGCAGGAACAGGACTCCTTCTTCAATCACTTGCTGCGGCAATGAGCTGTAACCCAAGAAAACTTGAACACCAAATAAAGTATAACATTGCCCACAAGGCTCAAGTCTTTTATTACTGGATAAGTATTTTAAGTTGTCTGGTTTCAAGCAGACAAAACACAAAGGCTGATTATTAAAAAGATACAGGCTAAGCTGTTCAGGAAGGGCCCATGAGAAGAAAAAAAGACTAACTTAGCCATTTGACAGCTAGAACAAAGACGCTTCCATTTGAACTTTTGTCTGCCACCACCTGAGAGCAGAAGTATCACTACTTCCTTGTTATCAACTGTTGCCAAGCTACAATGAGCTGGGGTTGGCCAGTCCCAAACTTGAGTTCACTAGCACCCTATGCCTCCACAAGGTATCTGAAATGCAAACATTTTGTAGGTATTACTTTCAGAAGATCCTAACTTGGATACAACTCTAGAACAAACACAAAACTTTTGCCAGGTTTTCCAATCAAAAAGGCTTGAGAAGATACTCTTCCCTGCACAAGCAGAAAACCTACCACTGTCTACATTTCAGGAAGTGGAATATCACTACACTTCTATTTCAAAACTTATAAAACTCAGGTCGTAAATTAAACTCAGATTACATCATAAAACTCTTTACCTACAAAGAACTATTCCAATGAGTTATCTTAAAATTTAAAATATAATCTGCTTCTTGATAAAATTAAGAATAAATGAGGAGTATTAAACACAAAATAACTTGTGAAATCTGTTTTAATGAAAAAGAACTTCAGATTTCCAAAGTAGCTATCCACTCTTTTATTCCTATCAGAAAATATATATACAAGAGGATATATAAATGCTATTTTATTGTACACATATGCATTCAGTTAGGAATTAAGCTACTTATTATTTAAACCATTAACCTTTAATTCCTCATGTAAAAATTGCACAGTAGCAGTAAGAAGACTTCAGGAAAAAATATCTTCCCAGGGCTTTCACAACTCCAAATATGCCAACTCTGGGCAAATGTAGTAAGATATGATTATTAAAGTGTTCCTAAACTAAGTAATCAAAAAATATAAATGTTCTGCCTGGATCTTTTTTTCACCTCAAAATTCCTCTTCCTGAACCCATCCCAAAATTTTCCACAGTCTACTGTTCTTCCTAGGCTTCTCAACACAGTACATGGCTTTACCATTCATGTATTGGCAATTCCTCTATCTTTTACGTAACTGAAATTAAATACCAATCTTTAAAACCTAATTTCAAAGTGAAATCAAAGGTCCTCAGCCATTTGCTCAGACTCTCAAGAGAAGGGACCTCAGAAATCAGTGCCAGACCTCACCACCAAATGCACGACCCCTCCTCTATCTACCTGCACGCTCCCACTGCAAGAGGACAGGGTGGGGTGGGGAGAGAACTCACCATCCCACAGGCAATTCGTGTCTTTTTCAGTTGTCAGAAAAGGTCACATGCTGAATTGAGACTGCCTGGAAACCTGCAGCCTGTGGTCTTTCCTCTGTAGCTATGTCCTTCCCCACAACTGCCTTGAATACTGTGTCTTCCAGAAGTGAATAAAACTTTCTGATGCTGTTATAGGTATAACAAGACTTTCAAATCTTTTTATTCTGGAGACTCTTCTATAAATATGGTTTAACACTGGTCTAAGCAACTATCTTTCCAAACAGCTTTAGCCACCACCTTTAAATGCCTGGTTTCACAACATCCATTACTTTACTGTGTCCAATTTCAGAATTTCACCACACTTTTACCTACTTTTCATGCTAAATTAAAAGTTGGGGGAAAAAAGAAATCAGACTTTTTATGTACACACATTAAAATAAAATTCAAGCTTAACTGCACCTGCAAATAAATTTCTTCTTGGGAGGACTGCCATCTACACTCATGAATACACAAACTTGGAAGTGCAACAAAAGCAGAGACTCACTATAATTAACTCCCAAGTGCAAAGTGAGAAAAAGATAGCACTGGAACTTCTAAGTAACTGAATAACACAATTGCATAGTTCAATAAAGACTCATTCTATATACTACACCCTGAAATCTTTCAATGGGGACTTCCACAGGTGACTTTGCTTCAATGAATGGATCTCCAATTCAAGAGATGCTGTGAGATCCTCAACACAGTACCTGCATTTTAAATTTAAAAACTCACGGGGCGGGCCTGGTGGTGTAGTGGTTAAGTTCACGCATTCTGCTTCGGTGGCCTGGGGTTCACAGGTTCGAATCCCAGGCACAGACCGACACACCACTCATCAAGCTATGCTGTGGCAGAATCCCACAAACAAAATAGAGGAAGATGGGCACAGATATTAGCTCAGAGCCACTCTTCCTCAGCAAAAAGAGGAGGATTGACAACAGATGCTGTCTCAAGGCCAATGTGCCTCACCAAAGGGAAAAAAAAAACCTCTTCTATGCTCAATTTTAAGGAGTCCAGCTAGAAGTCAAAGGAAATAAAACAATGAGGGGAGGAGAGAATAATATACTCCAAAGAGATATGAATGCTCTTCAGACTTACAGAGTACCACAGAAATAAAACACACAAGAAAACACCTCTGGGAATCCAAACAAAGGCTGGAGAAACTAGTCTCTCGATTTCCATGTTTGCTTTAAGACCTGTTTAACATAGCATATTTCCTCAATTCCAAGACACACAAATGATGGTGGGGGATAGACCATCACGTTAAAGGGGTACACTGTAAGAGGTATACATTTCAGAATCAAAAAACATGCAACTTAGAATTGAGGAGTTCCAAAAGGTTTCCTGCAGCAGAACCACCAACTGATTAGAGCTGAGGTTTTCCAGGCCTGCCAAAGGTGTGCAAACTCACAGCAGCATTTTGCTTTAAATAAACCTAGTGTTAACTTTTTTATTCATTTTCTCCCAAGTACTGATCCTTAGAATCCACTGATCCTTAGAATCCAATTTTCCTCAATTGAAAGCAAGCAAAATTGTTCAAAACCAGAAAGTCCTTGTGTTTGCTACACATTTACGACCTACTCAAAAGTAAGTTTTATGAACAAAAAAAAAGAAGTTTCTTGTTGTTTAATCTTACTTTATCTAGGTCAAGGAACTCTTCAACACATCTTCACCATTGTTACAATGTCCTATCTGTAGCCACGGGGCCTCCTCCTCCAGGGAGGAGTTCACCTTGATTATGTCAGGGTTTTTTTTTCCCACCCTGCTCTCCTGTGAGGATTTCAAGGAAGGTATTGACTTATTATTTTAACCAAGCTGCACTATGTGGCTTTTCTGAGCTAGAGTAAAAAACGGAGGCTCCACATACAGGAGCATAAAAAAAAAAAAAAAAAAAAAAAA